GCCATTTTTAAATTATTAGAAAAACTCCTGGATTAATAGAGCATTTAAAAATTTGAAAAATATGTCTTTTGAAATTTCAAAATAACTTATAATAATATTCCCATTGTAATCATCAGGACCAACAGCTTTATTTGACTTTAACAATTTAAAAGCAAGCAAGTGATATATTTTTGTATAATTGCAAAACACTTATTGGAAAAAATGCTCAAATAAAAACAACTTTTCAATTGAAACTGTTTTTTAGGACATTGTAGGGAAAACTGTAAATACTAAATAAGTATTGACAAATCAAGAATGGGAAATTTCAATGACTTTTAATATATTATGATTTGCAGTTTATTTTAATGCTGTTAAACTGTGGCATATTATCATGTTACAAATCGTAGTGACTAATAAAGCTGGAAACGGTGTTGACCTTTTGGTTCTGAGCCAAAACTTGAACAATTACGCCAATACTGCACAAATTTCATAATCGAAATACATTGATAATCAGTGTATTTCGATTATTGATAAGTTTGATATTATTTAATTTGATCAATTCACAGAGATCTCTTACTTTATTTATCAACGTGATCTCTAATCTAAGCTAGGTGTTCATTTTCAAGTTTAAATGTCTCAAAATAATAATTTTCGAATGTTTTGAATAAAAGAACAAAACAACCATAATATGCATATTTTATATGCTTTTCAATTAAGATGCTTTTCAATTAATCTAGTCAAGCTTTATTTTTACTGTACAAAACTACTAAATGCAAAAAGTTTGCATAAAAAAAAAAAAAAAAAGTTTGAAAAAGCAAGCGAAGTGAGAAAAAGCATCCCAACCCAGTTTGGTATAGCGGTTTTCATAGAAAAAAACATTGAAAATAAAATTTGCTAATACACAAATGGTAATCTAAATGAAAAAAAAAAACAGTAAAAAATTTTTTTTTTAAACATTACCCTCGGGTTTAAAAAGAAGCATAACTTTCTTTTGTTTAACACTTTTGTAATGTAGTCGATACTTATTGGAAAGTATCGACTACATTACAAAAGCGTTAAGCAAAAGAAATTTTGTCGATATTGCATTTTTGGACTTTGCAAAAGCGTTTGATAAAGTTTCTCATCGTAGACTAATACATAAATTGAAAGCATATGGGATCAATGGTAATGTTGGCAAATGGATTGAGTCATTTATGACAAGCAGAAAACAACGAACAGTTTTAGGTAATCACTCTAGCGACTGGACCGATGTTTTAAGCGGAGTTCCACAAGGGTCTGTACTTGGTCCAACATTATTCATCATCTACATAAATGACTTAACGGATAATTTAAAATCAGTTCATAAAATTTATGCTGATGACACTAAACTGCTGCAAGAAATAAGACCTGAGTTTCACGATGCTGATTGTCTGATTCTTCAAAATGAACATTATCTCAGAGTGGTCAAAAGAATGGCTTATGGAATTAAATGTTTCAAAGTGTAAAGTTATGCACCTTGGTCATGGAAATATAAATCATGAATATGTAATGAATGATGGTAATACATCTCTTATTATAGCGGCAACGGATATTGAAAGAGACCTTGGGTATCTTTTTATCTAACGATCTAAAATGGAATCAACACATACAGGTTGCGACACGTAGAGCAAATATGATACTTGGCCTACTAAAAAAAACATTTAGATCAAGAGATATTAAGCTTTGGGGTAAACTATATACTACATATGTTAGGCCGCACCTGGAATTTGCTGTTCCGGTATGGTGTCCTTACTTAAAGGGCGACATCAAAGAAATTGAAAAAATTCAGCACAAAGCAACAAAAATTCCTCATGATATAACAAGTTTACCTTATGCTGAAAGGTGTCGGCGTCTCAATTTTACTTCTTTGGAAACTCGCAGGCGACGCGGCGACTCGATCCAACAGTTTAAACTTGAAAACGGTTTTGAAATTATTAATTGGCATAATCCACCTCTTCGCAGATCACCATCCAACGTACTAACGCGTGATTTCACTTACAATAATGCTCGACATAATTTCTTCACAAATCGTATTGTGAATGATTGGAATTATTTACCGTTGTCATGCAAAAAGGCTCCGTCAATTAACGCATTCAAAAGTAGAATTGACAAGTATTTTTTTCCTACAGCTGCAAACAGTGCATCTTTTACTGAAGATGAGCTGCACGTTTAATTTAATTAATTCGTGCTTTAGCAACTACAAATATTGACTTTTTAGGTACATTTGTCATGAACGTAAACTGTAATTAAATGAAAGCAAAAAAAAAATTAAAAAAAAAAAAAAAATAAAACAAAAAAAAAATACAAAATAAAAAATTAAAAAAAAAAAAATAATAATAATAATAATAATAATAAAATAATAATAATAAATAAAAAATGCTTTTGTTTTTTTAATCTGTTTATTGGATTGTTTTTTTATTTATTTGTCATGTAATCTATAAAGACTTGTTTAAATATATTACTATTACTATTACTATAACTATATTTTGATTTTGAAAATAATTTAACTTAAAATTATGATTAAATACCTCGAAAAAAGTCTTGCATGGTAGTCACAACGTTTTTCCCATAAACTGTTGTTTTAAAGAGCGCGTTAATAAGCCTGACCAGAAAATGTTAAAAAACTTCAAAAAAAATTTTTAAAATGATAGACTGCCTGCCCAAACTAAACCCTCAGTCGATGTAGCAGCACTCCCTTTAGAGTCAGGCTATTTGTCAGTCGATGTAGCAGCACTCTGTTGCGAGTCAGGTTATAAGATAGTCGATGTAGCAATGTGTATATATATATATATATATATATATATATATATATATATATATATATATATATATATATATATATATATATATATATATATATATATATATTAGGGCAGGCTACAGTCCCACATAAATTTTTCAAAAAATTAATTTTACTAGTGGCTGCATAAAATATTGTTCCTTTTACTATAAAAATCATTTTTTGTTATGAAAGTGTTTATGTAGCACATCTCTAAGTACTGCCGCATTTTATTTTTAATGTGATATTTATAGATTTTTATTTTACAAAACAATAACTTTATTTAGTGGTTTTCATACAATAAATAGGCACCTGTAAGAGTTGCAGTATTCAATGAATTGTCTTCAAAGATATGTGTAATTTAGTTTAAAACTCAGTATGTTTATCTTATGTTGTTTTTTTTTACAAATCGTTGGTCTATATGTTTTCATAATGTTTTTCAATAAGCATATAGTAACAGATTCAACACCAACGTACTGACTATTTATTATTATCAGCCAGGTTATTCTCTGATCGTAATTTAGAAAATTTATTAAAATCTAGCACGCCGCTGTCATTTATTGTATGTTTATGTTATTAACAATACAAAATAATTAAATGGTTAATTCTATATGATCATCTTTTCAATTTATATGTATTCCAGTTTATATGTAATTCAAAGTAAATATTTGATAAATTCCAGTTTATATGTAATTCAAAGTAAATATTTGTTAAAGAAAATGTCACTAATTAAAAAATTTGCTCCACAGGTAAAATGGATGTCACACTTGTTGAATGCACCGAAGATGTTCATCTTTAAAGAAGATTTACTCGATTCTGATATAGCAAAGTTAATAATTTTTTGACTTTCAGCTCAATTTTATATGTTAAAGCTTGGCTAGAAGCAACAAAAGGCTCTGATGCACCCATTCATCGCCAACGATATTCATTTATACAATGATCTAGGCGCTCTAGAGCAGATCTCAGGCTTCTCTAATGCAGCTCAAAAAAGCTCAAGAAGTTCTTAACAGGCACTCATGGTATCTAACTGAGGTTTCAATCTCTTTTCAAATAACGTTTCTGCTAAAGAAAAAGCTAACATTGTGTTAAAATTGATAGATGTAAGAAAGCCACTTGCTATCAACTCTGGAAAACCTAACCTTCTATCTATTCACAAGAACTTAGAGATATTGCCGTATATTGGGAAAAGATCTTGGTTGCTCTTTCATAACTTAAACGATAAAGATAAATGGCTCAAACTTCCTCCTTTATAATGGGAGAAAGATGGAAACTTTTTAAAGATGAAACATTTTTCAAAACAAACGATGTTGCAGAGCGAGGAATCAAGTTATGTTCGGATTATCTTCACTTTGTGTTCTGTATGATAAAAATGTAATTTTTACTGTCTTTTGTTAAATTATTATATATATAATCTTTCATTAGCCATAAATAAAGCATCACTAATTTTTACTCCCTAACAACTATAAAAAACACCAAAAATTTTTCATTAATAAATGTAGTAGTGTTGTAGTATCAGTGTTGCAGTAGTAGTGTTGTAGTAGTAGTGTTGTAGTAGTGGTGTTGTTGTAGTAGTGTTGTAGTAGTAGTGTTGTAGTAGTGGTGTTGTAGTAGTGGTGTTGTTGTAGTAATAGTGTTGTAGTAGTAGTGTTGTAGTAGTGGTGTTGTAGTAATAGTGTTGTAGTAGTGGTGTTGTAGTAATAGTGTTGTAGTAGTAGTGTTGTAGTAGTGGTGTTGAAGTAGTGGTGTTGTAGTAGTAGTGTTGTAGTAGTGGTGTTGTAGTAGTGATGTTGTAGTAGTGGTGTTGTAGTAATAATGTTGTAGTAGTAGTGTTGTAGTAGTGGTGTTGTAGTGGTGGTGTTGTAGTAGTGGTGTTGTAGTAGTGGTGCTGTAGTAGTGGTGCTGTATTAGTAATGCTGTAGTAGCAGTGTTGCAGTAGTAGTGTTGTAGTAGTAGTGTTGTAGTAGTGGTGTTGTAGTAGTGATGTTGTAGTAGTGGTGTTGTAGTAGTGGTGTTGTAGTAATAGTGTTACAGTAGTAGTGTTGTAGTAGTGGTGTTATAGTAGTGGTGTTGTAGTAGTGGTGTTGTAGTAGTGGTGCTGTAGTAGTGGTGTTATAGTAGCATTGTTGTAGTAGTGGTGTTGTAGTAATCGTGTTGTAGTAGTGGTGTTGTAGTTGTGGTGTTGAAGTAGTGGTGTTGTAGTAGTGGTGTTGTAGTAGTAGTGTTGTAGTAGTGGTGTTGTAGTAGTGGTGTTGTAGTAGTGGTGTAGTAGTAGTATTGTAGTAGGTAGATTAGTATTAAGTGAAATCATGAAATTACAAAATTGTAAATGATTTAAAAAAAAAAAGTGAAATGTAACAAATAGAAACTTGCTATGTATTTACTTTACAATAATTGATTGCGATTTTAAAATTGGCATCACAAAGCATTAGGTCTGCTTTATTTTTTAGCAAAACTTCAACCAAATTGTTTTTCTTTTGCAAGCACAGCAAGCAGCAAGCATGAGAGATGTTCTGAAAATTCATATTTGAAATTATTTTAAATTGTTATGATGTAGATGGTTTTCATAAAAAATCAAACACAACTAGAATACAAGTCCTATAAAAGTAATTTATTATAGTTTCTGATGATATTACCTTTCATGTAAATCTGTACTATTGATGTAAATGAAGTAATGTAAGATGATCAAAGTAGAAAAAATGCTGCTCGAAAATGAAGATGTAAACATCTTCATTTTTGAGCAGCATTTTTGCTACTTTGATCAGAGAGATATCTTCTCTTGCATAACAAAACTTATGCAAACAATTAAAAGTCTCTGCTTTGCATGAACTTTTTAAACGGTTATACATACTTTTTATTACCACTATTTCTTCATTGCCGTACTTCTGCATAATATAACCAAATGCAGCTCCAATTATATTGTTTTTGGTGTAGGTGTTCTTTATCAAAACCTTTACGCAGTGTAATGCTCAAACCTCAACAGTCTAAAATAGTTACAAATTTAATTAAAAAAAAATTCTATAAACCTATTAAATAATATGAAAAAATTAAAATCAACAAAACTATATGTAGATTCTTAAATCCTTTATGAAATCATTTTGCATGTGCATGTATTCTGTAAAAATGTGTTCTGTGCATGTACAGAACACATGCACAGAACACATTAGTTAAACTGATGGTTTAACATCAATAACTGTAATTTAGTTATTAAATAACAAAAAAAGCAAAGAAACATAAAAAAGGATAAATTATCATTTCAGCATTATATTCCTCTTTTAAATTCAATAGTAGAATAGTATTTACATTAAGTGTTTACATTAAGTATAATACTTAGACATGTAATACAAAGGTTCAATACTTTAGGTTCAGAGACATATACATGTATTCTTCTCACTATTGTTACAAACTTGGCAAAAAACATTCCGTATACATACATACATACATATATATATATATATATATATATATATATATATATATATATATATATATATATGTATATATATGTATATATATGTATATATATATATATATATATATATATATATATATATATATATATATATATATATATATATATATATATATATATATATATATATATATATGTATATATATATGTATGTATGTATGTATGTATACGGAATGTTTTTTGCCAAGTTTGTAACAATAGTGAGAAGAATATGGTAATCCTACACTTACGCAGCCTAAAATAATTTTATTTTTCCGCTTGTCAGTAGAGGCTTTACAAACAATAGGAATATAATTGAAATAATAAAGTGAAAAAAGATTGCTGCCCCATGCCAAACCCTCATTCGATGTAGCAGCACTTCCTTGTAGCCTCAGGCTATAAGATAGTTGATGTAGCAGCACTCCGTTGCGAGTAAGGCTATAAGATAGTTGATGTAGCAAAACCCCCTGGCGCAACAAGGGCAAAAATATAATTATTTTAGGCCGCGTAACTATAGCTTTACCTATATATATATATATATATATATATATATATATATATATATATATATATATATATATATATATATATATATATATATATATATATATATATATTATATATATATATATATACATATATATATATATATATATATATATATATATATATATATATATATATATATATATATATATATATATATATATTAGGTACGTGAGCATCGCGTTTTACGGAACCGAATTTTGTGCTAAAATTCTGTTCCACGTTTTTCGTAGTCTCTTAAAAGTTAGAGTGCTTGAGGAAGGCCTTGTGGAATAACTTTTTAGTATTCGTTATCAATATAGATTATTTTTAGAAAGAAGAATAGTTGAAGCATTAGTTCGATTGGTTTTTAATTATACTCACTTAATTTATTAACTAGTTTATTGATGTCAAAATTTTGGTTGTACTTCTGTGGTGAATTTAATGTCTAGGATATTGTCTTTTTTTTTTCTATCCATTTTTTTTATTAAAATTTATTCATTTATCTATGCACCTGCCAATTTTCGTTGAAAAATATTTTGTAGCAGTCACCTTATTTCTTGTTGCACTTTTGTTACCTCATTTTACCTGATGTTGGCGCGGGAGACAGAGGGGTCCATTGATTGTTTTTATTTATATTTATTTTACATATATAGTATTCATATTAGCAAAATTTGACTTATGTCATAAATTGGTATTGTAAACCTAGATATTTTAGAATAAAAATATAGTTAAAAAATTTGTTCATTTG